TAGACAAAGAGAGAAGAAAGAAGAAAGTTGGAGAGGACGGTAAGAAAGGACAAGGAAATGAAGATGATATCTCGAGAGATATAGGATAAATCGGCGGAAAGGGGAGAAAGAAAGTGGGAGAAGAAGAAGAAAAATGCAACAATGAGGCCAATATATGCGCCAGTAGACTCTCGAACACCAGATTTTGTAGGAAAAAAAGTTTGCACCATATAAGACACCATAGATATACCTCCGAAAACACCACCGCCACCATACATGCTCTCGAAGGAAAATAGTAAAATGTATCGGGTTACAGGATCAGCTCGTCATGCGCGCTCGAGCTGAAGTTCATCATAGGCCTCAGCGCCCTCTCACTCGCGTTCACAACGCATCTCTCATCATCATCCAGCTCAACTTCGGTAACCCATTCGTTGGGTAAATCGGGATAGTAGTCATCACCACGATCTTGAATCTCCCGAATATTCGTATGACTGATCCCGAACTTCTGACCCCATTCCCGACGCTCGAATTCCATCAACCCACCGAATTTGGTATCCATATTAGCGACCCAGATTCTGCTCCCGTCGTCAGAGTAGTCGGCACCACCGATTTCACCGAAGAAATCGAAAACTTGGCGGGATTGGTAGGTTTGTGCGTTGACGATCGAGATGCGGTCTGCCGGTTCGCACATGAGTAGCGTTCGTGGACCACCGCCAACGGGGGAGAATCGGAGGGACCGGTAGCCAGCAACGTCGGATTCGATGGTTTGTAGAATGCGCCAGGTACGTGCGTCCCAGATATTGACAGTTTTATCTTGGTTACTGGTTGCGATGTGGATCATATCGGGGGACCAGGCACAGGCGAAGCCGAAATCCCGATGTCCACGAAGAGGCTGGATAGGTTTGCTCGTTTCGGCCTCGAGCACCCATGCGTCTGCAGCATCACCAACGACAACGCGAAGACGGCCATCCTTTGAAGTATCGGTACAGTTGATTGCACGGTACAGCTTATCCTGCTGAACAAACTTGTTGGTCTCGCAATCAAGAACACGTATGTACTTGTCGTTTGAGGCAAAGACGGCCTGTGGGTTCCGACTAGTGCGATGCCTGACAATATCAACATGATTCGTGATCCCATTCTGGTTGCTCGTGACAGTTCCTTCGACAGTTCCGAAATTGGTAAAGCTTGCCCTCAGTGCGTATTCACCGTTAAATCCTCCTAGAACAGTGACCCCATGTTTGGCCTTCATTGTTGAGATTCTAACCGGTTCCATGTAATTTGTGGTAGCTGATGGCTTTGACATGTCGATTAGGACATGCTTCTCGTCGTGGAAAGGAATCGCCGAGAAAACCTTCGACCTATTCGCGTATTGAATTGTGTTGTAGGAAGTCACAGACATCAGATTGCGAAGCTGGAAGTGGGACATCGTAGCCTTGTACTTTGTGTACATATTCTTTCCTCCGAAATAATGCTCCCTCTCGGGAAGTTGCCTCGAGCACTTGTATCACAGTCAGCACACAAAGTACCTAAATCATTGTGACACACAAATACATACCCAGTGAGGATCATGATCCAAGTTGCGATAGGCAGTATACAATTGATCACGAAGACTTCTCGCATCCGACCTCGAAACCCGTAGTTTCTCATCCCAAGGAATCTGTTGAATATCGTAGGAATCGTCTCGGGACGATTCAGGGCAGGATATTTTCTCCGGTCGAATCCAATCGGGTACGTTCGCGGCTTCCGTCGAAATGGGTATGAAGGGTTGGGGCATGTTTAGGGACTCGGGGGAGATTTGCGATCGGGACAGCCATTGCTTGATGAACTGCTCGACGGTGAGGTTGCTTTCGTAGGCTGCTTGAACGTCGCCGTCAGCATTAATGTATGTGTCGCCTTCGCGAGGTGCAAGGGGAGATGCAAGTAACAGCTTTGCAACGTGGGGTGCGAAATTCTCCAGGATTAATGAGGGTTTGATATAGAAAAGGGAGTATTCAGTCTCCTTGTGAAGGTCGTCATACTCCTGCTCTTCTAGAAGGGGAGGGGGCAGGGCAGAGGTTGGAGTAGATGACCCGTCTTCTTGCTGATTGCCAGCACTCACAACGGGATCCAGAATGAATTTCCACGGGAATGGGTTGCTTAGAAGGAAATTGTAGAGAAACTTTGCAGTTTCATGGGTCTTGGGAAAAGACTTGACGGGTTGAGACCCATCAAGGATCGCGATGGTCGAACCATCAACGTAAATTGACTTGCCTATCCGTGGGATCACAAACATACCTCTACGAACCCTGGGCTCAGTCGAAGCGGTATTAAGCACTTCTTGGACTGCGCGGGAACGTAGAGTGCTGGCGTGATCAACGGACTCAGAAGTGGTTGCAATATCTCGGGCTGCGGGACCTGGCATGGGGCTGGTCTGTCCATTCGTATCCTGGGTTCCATACACGGCTTTCAAAACGGCTTGCTGGGCCTCTGCAAGCGAATTCACCTCTAAGGGGATAGATGGGTAAACACAATTTAGAAAATGGGGGTCCATACTGTCTGTGTGCATCGTGAATCCTATAGGATCTGGGTCTTGATCCTGGTCCATATCATCGTCGTCGTCATCGTAAAAACTGTCGTCATCGGGGAATGCGTGATTGGTCATCCCGTGGTGGGCTTGCTGTAAGAGGGGACCGGTGATGTGGGGGAGGGAATGGGAATTAGATTCTTCGTAGAAGTCCTGGAAATCTATATCGCTCAGCTCTTGGGGTGGGGGCTGTTCTCTCTCGTCGAAAACGTAGCTATTGTCGGCGAGGTAGAACTTCTTTGTGTCGTCGGGGTCGTCGCGAGAAGTGTGGAAACCCTGTGCAGAACGGCAAAGCTCGAATGTAGATGGGTCGTTGTCTTGAAACAATTTACCTTCATTACCATTACCATCATCGTGAGGAGTGTCTTGTCCCTGCTGGTAAGCATTATTAAACGCGGCAATGTATTCTTCATATTCTCCATCGCTGCCACTGGAGTCGTCGGAAGATTCTGATGAGTCCTGGATAGGGGATGCCGAGCCCTCAGACAGGTCGCTGCGCATATAGTGAGGCGATCCTGCGGCGGATGAAGGTGTGTAATGGTAGCGGGTGTTGTTTATTGTGAAGGGTTCGGAATGCTGGTCTGATTCAAGGTCATTGACAGAGACTCCGCGAGTCATGTTTCTAGGGATTGGAGAACGAAGTTGAGCCCCATCCCATTCCATAACCCCAGAAGAAGTAGTATTTGTAATTTGGGGGTTTCTGATAGAGGTGGAACCAGAAGAAGTTCCTACAAACGCAGTCTCTGCATCCAACGCCGCATCCATCGGCCACGAAGGAGATGTAGTATCCTGCTCAGCGTTGATGTAAGAGTTGTGTAGCTCCATGTGTTTATTCGCTTCAAAGTAGGGATACTCCATAGGACTTGGTTCTAGGACGTTGGCGCCGGAACGCCCACGTTTACCATGCCCCACAAGATTAGGATTCTGGCTGCTGCCTAAAGTTGGGGTTCGACTTCGACCAGACATCTCAAGGGAACTGGTGTTCTGGCAACGCGAGAGCGACTCCAACGATGTTTTGGTAGACAAACTACTTTCGCTTGAGCTCGATTGTGGGTTCCCTATGTCGGCGTTGTCTTGTGTTGGACTAGAAGATTCGCGTGGTGCCAATTCCGTTGTTTGTTGATAAACACTGCCGCAAGTGCCGTCGAGAAAGGGGCTTGTTTGCGAAAGAGAAGAACTAGTTTTGGTTGGCTCAGTCATGATGTTTGACACTGTATCACTGCCTTCGCGTTCCTTTGGCATCAAGCAGGTACCCTAGAGAGGCCCTGATACGATTGTAATGCTGGGCAACCAATATGGCTTTGTGGAACACTGTCGGGTAGTAACAGCCTTGCTGCTGTGAAAAGTGTAAGCAAATATCCAGATCTCTCTTTCTAGAACAAGCGGGTGCGACGGACCAACCCCTGAGGTGGGTGTCCTCACAGATATACCCCTGGGTTAGGAGAAGAAGCAAACGTGGTCACTAGCTAGCTCAGCCTCTCCTTAAACTTCTGCGTTAAAGCACAGGAAAAGGTTACCGGAGCCGCAAAGCTATGTTGAAAGAACCGTAGTGCCTCTCAGCATAGAAGAAGAGGCATTCCCGAATTGAAAAGAACTACCTGAAAAAGTGTTAGAAACAGGTCTCTAAAAGTTGTTTCAGGATGATCGAGCATATAAAGATAAGGAAAAACAGATACAACACGTACCTCTCTTGTGACACGTTCTTCGCAATGTTGTTGTGCGCGAGAAACGCGATCTGACACTCGATCGTGAAGCACAACAACAAAGGATAGCGGGGTCGATAGAAAAGCCCGGAGACGGGAAAATGAGTCCCTTTAAAAAAGAGAGAGAGAGTATGACAGCTAGAGCTGAAATAGGAAGAATGAGGGAAAGAAAAAAAGGAACCAAGGGAAGGGTCCGTCGGGAGTTGTGTCCCGTAGTGTGGTGGTCGTGGTGGCCGTGAAGAAACTCGTAACACACTGCAGCAACTTCTGATGTATCTCAAGCGCTAGAGAGAGAAGATGACTAGATCCTAGAAAAAGGAAAGAAAATGAGAAGAATCTCAAGAAGATGATTAGTTAGCTCTCTCTCCTCCTGGTCAATTTCTGAAATGTGAGCAAAGAAAAGGCTGAGACGAAAAGACGAAGTTAAGAATAGGGGTTAGGGGAGAGGGAAATGTCAACAAGAGAAGCCGGGGAGCGGGAGGGAAGCACGGCTGAGGCTCCCTGGGGTTGACGCACACGTGTTGGGCGTAGGACAAGATCGAATACTGGCACAAAGTAAAACGGGTACAACCCACCTGTGAGGAGAAGAAGATTCTGGTGAGTTGATTGAAGCTTAAGAGTTTGGTGGCGTAGAGTCGAGTAGCGGGGAGAGAGAGAGGGGGGCGGGCTACTATACTTTCTCACTGGAAAGCCGGGAGGAATAACACAGCGACCGATCCAAGTGAGCGAGAAAAAAAAAAAAAAAAAAGAAGCAACGCCCTGTGGCGGGCTCGAACCGCCGACCTTGAGGTTAAAAGCCACACCTATTTTATATGTTAATTAAAGCTCATTAATAAAGAAGAACTGGGAAACGCACGCTCTAGCCAACTGAGCTAACAGGGCTGTTGTTGTGATATATTGCCCACCAAAGTAGTTACAAAGCGACAAAGAAATATAGAAATTCAACAAAACTCGATCACCGAAGACAAGATCGGTGATAAACGAGAAGTCGAGACACGAAAGATAGATGAATTAACAACTCAGTTCACGCAACGTGAAAGACCGAGATCGGATAGTTGTCGTAGACCTTGTGACCGAAGGCGCTTTTACGGAGAGCAGCAGTTCATGCAAGTTGCATGAGGAGAACGATGATGATGACCCAACAAGGTGGACGGACGGGATCGGCGGGAAGCCTTAAAGGGTGGCACGGGTGCACGGACACTCGCTTAATTTTGCCATGGTTGACCGCCTTGGGGAGGAGAGAGTCCCCGGAACGGGATAACAGGAGATCCGTGATCTTAGAAGAGTGAACCAAGGGATGAAGGACCCAAGGACTAGAGAAGAGCCTGTAGGTACTAGAGGGGGTCATTTGAGCAGGCAATAAGCAGGATAGCAGCGTTGTGCCTACTATCAACTCCAAGATATATGGCGGTTACGACCCCTTTATATACTCTTCGGTAGACCCTTCATGCAAGGGGTTCCCATGCTCATCCCGAGAACCAGAATAACTACCAAATAGCGGAGTAAAAGAATACACCAAGAACTCATATGGAATGAACTTTAATTATATTATTCCCGCTATGGCGATTAACCTCGTGGTGCTGTTCTGGAGAGTCGTGATATTCAACGAACTCGGAATCGCCATGTCCGACATATATCGGAGTGTGTACAACTCATCATACTATGGAAAGGGTAGGGAAGAAACGGATGGAAAGAGAAGGAAAAGAAAATAACCGAGAAAGAAAAGAGATATACAAAGCAGGATGTGGAGTGTAGGATACGTTGCACAAAGTAATAAAAGAGGTATAGGACGAATATAGGCTCACAAAGAATAGAAGAAGGGAAAAAAAGAGGAAGGAGATAAGAGAGGGGGATTGCCCATCAACAAATCCGCTGGAAAATACACACACAAAAATTTGAATGGTGGATGGGAAGAGGATAAAAAAAGAGAGAAATGAAAAAGAATTAAACAGAATCTTTAAATTCAAAACGCCTAAACCCTCCATGATGTTTTTATGGCTCATGCGCGCAAAGACGTAAGCAGGCACCGCCGATGGTTCGTTTCGTTAGTGAGGTCGGGCGGAAATATCGAAGAGTCAGAAGGCGTGGGCAATAGATCCGCGAGATACCAGCCGCTAGTAGTCGGAGTATGGCTCGTAAATAGCAGACTGTGTCTGACCCGGATAGTTCGCCACGGATGAGTGTGACCATCCAGCACCGGCAGCCCGTAGGCGACGTTCTGAAAAGAAACGTTAATAACCGTCAAATTCAACAAGCAAAGAAAACGAAGGACTAACCTTTCTCGAAATCACCCCATCGCTTCATGGTAATCTTGCTACTATCGAATTCACCTTGATATTCGATACCTCCAGTCTTAGTCTTCTCGCCCGCTGTCTTACGAGTATCACCCCAACTAAAGTCGTCGAACTTCCAGTACGCGTACGTAGGAAGGACAAAGTTCCACACCGGTAGGGAAATCAGGTATATAAACATCCAAAGGACGTATGACCACCGATGCGCTGTTAAAACAATCAAGACGGCAGGTAGACCCAAGATAAGTGCAAGTAGAACAAGCGGGATAACCTGCACCGGCTTCTTGATGATAGAGATGATAACAACATAGAAGGTGAACGCGATAGCGGCAGGCAGCACAAGGGTTCCGACCAGCTCGATGAAAACAACGAACTGCATACTGAAGCAGAATGTTCCACAGAGATCACGAACGAGAACAAGTTCCATAAGATTATGGACAGTACTGTTGATCCATCGTCGTCGTTGGGATAGAAGGACCTTAAACTCATTCGGTACGATGGTCTTGCAAACAGCTTGGGGAACAAACACCTGTTTACGCTTCGGGAAGGTCTTCAACATCAGGGTCGAGAGGTATCGATCTTCACCGAGGAGAAGCAGATTCTTCTTGTGTAGTGTGTCGACAACATTCTCCGAGTAGTGCTCCACAACGTCAGGGTTGGCGAGGATAGGAACCCAGTAGTTTTGACCACCCTTAGGGGCTTTAATGCGGTACATGCAGAAACATCCAGGCAAACAGGTAACACCACCGAAGACGGATTCGAAGGACTTGGACAGATGATGGGAGATGAAGTACTCGAAGACCTGGATCATGGAGACCCAACTATCCCTCTTATTCGCAATCTTAGTCTCGCCGCAAAGACCCATAATCTCAGGATCTTTCACCATAGCGGAAATCATATGGGTAAGACTGTCGGGGAAGACCTTGGTGTCGGCGTCAACCATGAGAACAATCTCATAGTAATCAGGAGAGATGCCAGTAATTTTCCAGAGACCATTGAACATTTCGTATTCCAGTTCCGTCATACGCTCGTCGAACATAACCTTCTGCAAGAAAGACATGAGGATGATCTGACTGTCACGTTTTCCGCGGTTTCCGGGCTTGTTCTTCGTAGCCTCCTCGGGGGTTCCGCATTTGACAACAACCATCATCGGGACGCGCTGTTGCTTGTCAACCGGGATAACGGAGTTTTCACCGTAGTCGTAGAATCCAGCGTAGATCTTAGCCATGTTATGCCTCTTCGAACCACTAGCGACGGCAACGTAGGAGAAGGCTTGGACTTCATGGGGAGGCACAGCGTGGTCACCCAGCATACCCAGAGCAACCTCAGGGGTAGTAATATCTTCACCCTCACCCTTGATCATACCATCACAAATAACGATAATGGTCTTGTGGCTGTTGGGGTAGTCCGTCAAAGCAATCGAGTCAAGAGTAGTCCTGAGACCGTCTGCGCCTTCAGAGTAAGCGGTAACAAGGCAGATAGCGTGAGCCAATGGGTACCCAAAAGGCTGCCACTCTGGCGGTGGCTGAGGAACAACGGCTTCGTGGATGAATCCCGCAGGTCCAGGGCCCTCGGCCTCGCTCATGACAGTCGAGTAGCGTTGGTCTTGGCCACTAAGCATCAGGCTCGATCGACTTCCAACCATACTCTGGCGAGGAATTTGATCTGGAGCAGTGAGTGTACCCTGACTTCCATTATAGCCCATTTTATACATGCCGGAATTGTGGGCTCCAAGTCTCGCGCTGGAGTTTTGACTCGCCATCGTTGTTGGGCCGGTACGGTTCTTCTGGGATCCTCTCTCCATGACATAGGGACTTGTAAATCGGGAGGTGGTCGGGAAGATGTTGCTCGCACGTTTATTGGGCTTATCAGCAGGGGCAGCTGCATGCTCAGCAAGGCGAGGTCCAGGTCGGTAGATATCATCGCTCCAATCCTCGATTTGCCTGTTACGCTTTCTCGAGCTTCCACCAAGTGAAGTTTTCGATGCAGCGAAACGACGAGCGAGGAACCATTGGAATGTCAGTGCCAAAAAGAATTTGGACCCGACAATCGAGAGAATGAATACGAGGGAAACGTAGAGGACGACCTTGGACGCAATGCACCCGACGCTTTCGGTATCGACAGATCCAACCCTGATAATTTCCGTCAAACATTTGGCAAGGCGCTTATCAGGTCCCGATTGAAATGCGTAAGTAACATCAACACCTCTGACTTCGGGGCTCTTGCGGAGCTCATCAAATTGCGCAGGGTAGGAGACTTGACTAGTGTTCAACCAGTTGATAAGATCAAGATCCAGAACGTTGCCAGAGTAGACCATCAAATTGCGGCTCGAATTCTTAACATCGTCCCAGGTAAAGTAAACTTCACCCATGCTGTTGAGGCCGTAGAACGCGTCTCGAGCGGGGGAGGTGGTGTGGCAGGAATATCCAAAGTAGTTCTCATTAGTAAAATCATCAGGTTTACTAGATCCATCCTGATTCAAAGCAGTGCAGGGGAAATAAAATGCGAGCTCGCCGTCGTCATTGGTGGGAACGTCGGAGTCTTCGGCGGCGGTGATTAAATCTTTGCAAGCTCCGTTCACGTTCTGGAACATGAAACTTCCATCCATTCCCCCGTAGCTTTGTGCGGGTGTGTATAGAATTAGAGAGTTAGGAGGGATACCGTCCGCGGGAGGATGCGTTGCTGCCGAGAGATCGTATGCCTTTCCGTGGAAAATCATAGATCCAGTGTCCACTTCGTTGATCTTGAGTCGGAGGCCGGGGCTTCCACAGACAACTTGCGTGAAACCAAAGGTGAGGAAACCAACAAATGTACAGATCAAAAGAATGATACTGATGAGCCCCATCTTCTCTCTCCAAGCGCGTCTCTGGGCTTTGGCCGGCATCCCGAAGCACTTCAGGATCATATCAGGGCACCAGAAGGTGACGATCCCACAGTATACGTTCCAGAGACTTGGAGGGCGAACCGTGTCCTCCTGCTTCCGCCGTCTCTTTTCCTCTGAGTCCATTCCTTTAGACTTCCTTCGCTCCAACTTCCGTTGCGAACGTTGTTTACCCAGAGACTTCTCATTGCGACGCGTACTGTGGTGTCGAGTGCTTCCATGCGCAGGCCTATTGATCCCTTTCCTATCGGTACTACCAGAGCTGACCGTTTCCGACTCTCCATGATCTTCTGTGAGGGGAGCATTTCCCGTGGTCGAGGGATAGGTGTGCATATTCTGGGCATGTTGACGGTAGTGGTAATTCGGGTGGTCGGGGTCGAAACGGCGTCTCTCCGGTTTTATTAAACTTCGCTTCCGCCCAAGTTCATTCTGCGGGACCATCGGGTCGTGTTCTTGGGGCGAGGTAGGGCCATTTCCGGACTGGTAGTAACTTGGGTTCGTCCGTCTGGAAGGGGAATAAGGAGATCTGGGGCTTTCGGGATACCCACCAGACTCAACATCGTGATGGCGCCGGACCGATGAATCTCGGAAGGTTGATCTTCTCTGATCGTGGCGCTCATCGGGTCTTTGGGGGAGTGACATCGTGATACTAGGATAGGAGTGTTAAAAATTCTGGCCCAAGACACCACAACAATGGAAAACGGCCACTC